TCCCTGGAGGCAGGAGAGGGGTGGAGTCTGACTAAAAAGGGACAAGAGCCCTGTAGTGAGTGGAGCAGGGGTGGATAGGTGGGAATGGGGGATGAGGACTGGTCAGCAATGAGGAAGAGGTAACAAACAGGTCCAGGTGAGTGATTAACGGGAGATGGGAAGGGCTGATCAGGGGAAACAGCAGACACAGCATGTGCAAAGGTCCTGGGGCAAGGTGACTAGCAGAAGGTGTGGGAGGGAAAAAAAGCAGGTCTGTGGAAGTGGAGAAGAGGGAGGTGGGGAAGATAAGAGAGGGGAAGAGGTAGCCGGTGCAGGGTCAGATGGGGGCAGGGGAAGGAGAAAGACTTTAAGGCTTTAAGCAGTGGATTAGGGACCCTATCTGGATGCTCACGGGTGCCCTCTGGTGGCGCAAAAAAATGCCGAATTGCCTTTATAGGCACTTCCTGCGCCTTTAAGAAACTCTGAAGGCGACTCCCGATCGCCCAGTTCAGGCTGTGGATTGGCGGATGGGCTCATGAATATGCAAATAACTCAGGCCCCATCGTGCTCTGATAGGTTGTGGGAACGAAAGGGGCGGAGAGAAGGCGGGGCTAGGACTGGGGGCGGAGCTGGGTCGTGACCAGGGGGTAGCGCAACGTCCCGCTCCGCGTTTTTCCAGCTCGGAGCCAGAAAAATTCGTGAGCGCGCCGATCCCCCGTAGAGTCTGAGCATACATTTTTTTTTTTTTTTTACTTAAGCTCATTCATATTAGGCCTTCTCATGACGCACCTAGTCAAGACGCCGGGTGTTATTCCTGTGCCCGTTTTACGAAGTACCAACAAGATTGGCCAATTTTTGTCCTGCTGAGCAAGTCCTGTCCCCTGCAGCTCGGGCACCCTGCCTCTGTGGCTTGTCCAACCTGGAGGCCAAAGGGGTTCCAGTCCCTGAGTACTGGGGACTGGGGACTGGGGACTAAGGACCTGAGTACTGGCTCCCTCCCCACCTGGACCAAGCCTGTGTCTCAGCAGCTGGGAAGAGCAGGATGCGAAGCAGGATGAGCCTGCCAGTTGGGGGGCACCTCGTGCAGGAAAGGTTTGGCAAGGGGGTGGGTGGCAGTCAGCCTGGAGAAAGGAGCGGGCAGGTGGCAGGTGAGCGGGCTGGCACTGACCGTGTGAGAGAAGACGTCCTGGGGCAGTCCTGGCAGCGGGGGGGAGGAGGGGTCGGAGGGGGGGACACGGCTCTCTGCTGGCCCCTGCTGGTGGGCGGGGGCGGGACGGAGCCTCCGGAAAAGACAATTTCCAAGGGAAAGAACATGACGCTTGAGCTTTGGGTTTCATTGTGTGATCACCACACCCGGGGATGCTCAGGGCTGACTCCTGGCTCTGTGTTCAGGGGTCACTCCTGGCGGTGTTCGGGGACCCTAGGGGGTGCAGGGATCAAACCCTGGTCAGTCGCAAGGCAAGTGCCCCCCCCTGCTGTGACTCTCACCCCATAACTCCAAGGTATTTCTTTTTTTAAATTAGAAGTAGCACTGTAGCATTGTCCTCCCGTTGTTCATTGACTTGCTCAAGCATGCACCAGTAACCTCCCCATTGTGAGACTTGTTACTGGTTTTGGCATATCAAATATGCCACGGGGGGGCTTGCCAGGCTCTGCCGTGTGGGCGAGATACTCTCGGTAGCTTGCCGGACTCTCCAAGAGGACAGAGGAATCGAAGCTGGGTCGGCTGCGTGCAAGGCAAACTCCCTACCCGCTGTACTATCGCTCCTGCCCATTAGAAGAAGTATTTTTATTTATTTTTTGTGCTTTTCTTGGGTCACACCCAGCAATGCTCAGGGGTTACTCCTGGCTCTGCACTCAGGAATTACGCCTGGAGGTGCCTGGGGGACCCTATGGAATGCCGGGGATGGAACCCGGATCGGCCGTGTGCAAGGCAAATGCCCTCCGTGCTGTACTATCACTCCGATCCCCAGGCAAGTACTTTTATATTGTTGTTTCGGCCACATCTGGCGGTGCTCAGGGCAGACTTCTGGCTCTGCTCAGGGATCACACCAGGCAGTGCTTGAGGGACCCTTTAGTGTGTCAGAGATTGAACCCAGGTTGGCCCCGTACAAGGTTGGCACCCTCCTTGCTGGACTATCACTCTGCCCCCCTTTTTTTGACTTTTGGGCCACATAGCACAGTGCTCAGGACTGCTCCTGGCTGTGGGGGGTGCTGCGGGGCCAGGGATCAAGCCAGGCGCCACCCTCACACTCACCTGCCATGTCAAACCTGTAGCCCCCAGGGGCTGGAGCGATAGCACAGCGTGTAGGGCGTTTGCCTTGCACGCGGCCGACGCAGGCTCGATTTCCAGCATCCCATACGGTCCACTGAGCACTACCAGGGGTAATTCTTGAGTGCAAAGCCAGGAGTAACCCCTGAGCATTGCGGGGTGTGACCCAAAGAGCAAAACAAAACAAAACAAGAGATACAGTCCCCCAAGCACCACCAGGAGTAATTCCCAAGTGCAGAGCTGGGAGGAACCCCTGTGCATCACCAGGTGTGACCCCCCCAAAAAAACAAAAAACCTGCAGCTCCCTGGCATCTCCCGGGCACTCCTGCTCTGGGGCAGGGGCACACTTCTCGGTCTTGGCAGACACAGGGATTCCATAGAGACTGACTCACGCCGTTAGCAAGTAAAACTTTTATTAAATAAATTTCCAGTGGCTCCAGACCAAAGAGAGGCGGTTCTGGGCACGCGGAGGGCACGGGGAGGGCCCGTCCGGGGCCGGAGTGTGTCTGCATCGCTGCAGACGCGGCCTCTCCCCGCGGACACCAAACCCCGACGACCCCCTCCGGGGCGGTCAACCCACTGCCCGCCGGCGCGCGCGCCCACGGTCCAGCCTTTTTTTGGCTTCGCACGCGCGAGTGCCTCTATCTCTCGAAATCGGGGTGGGGGTAGGGGTGGGGGCGTTCGCAAGTGGCAAGGGCAGGAAATCACTTGTAGCAGAAATAAAGTACGTCGTACAAATCACGCGGGTCTCGGAGGTGAAGTAGAAAAGTGGTATTTACAGCCAGTAAACATGGGACAGGACGATGCAGGCCCCGCTGGCCGCCACGCGCCAGGCTGCAAGGCGCCCTGGGTGGGGCTGGGGGGCCCGGGGGGGGGGGGCGGGGGGCGCACGCAGGACCCCCCCCACTCCCTGCTGGCACACACAGACGCACGGGACACAGGCACACTCCAGAGTGTCTCGGAACAAAGAATCCAAGTCCGGAATAGTGAAATAAGTTGGTTCCAAGTTTTTGTGTTTTTTTTTTTTGCTCTGTTTTTTTTTGTTCTTTTTTTTTTTTTCTTTTTTTTTGTTTTTGTTTTTTGTTTCTGGGTTGGTCCACACATTTTGGTAGAAACAAAGGGGGTGTTTTAATTTCTCTCTCTCTCTCTCTCTCCTTTTTCTTCCCCCAGGTTTGCTATCAAGCGTATGAAATTCCCAGGGGCCTCCCTGAGTAGGAGCCCCGACCTCTGGGCACCCCAGGGAACTGTATTCTGTGCTTCGGAAGTGCGTGTTCACGGCTCGGGCCACTGTACAGGAGCACCCCAATATTCTCCCTCCCACCCCAATTCGGAAACAACGACAACAACAAAAACATCCATTGGCATTGGACCTCCCCCCCACCCCACCCCACCCTGTTTCCCCCCTTCTTTTCTCTTCTTTTGTACCTGTTCAGAAAGACCAAGATAGAAAAAGAAAGGAAGGAGGAAGGAAGGAGGAAGGAAGGAAGGAAGGAAGGAAGGAAGAAGGAAGGAAGAGGAAGGAAGGAAGGAGGAAGAAAAGAGAAAGAAGGAAAGAGGAGGGAAAGAGGAAGAGAGGAAAGGAAGAAAGAGAGAAAAGAAAGTAAAGAGGGAATGAAGGAAAAAGGAGGGGAGGAAGGAAGGGAGGGATGGAAGGAGGAGAGGGCAGGAGGGAGGGAAGGTAGGGAGAGAGAAAGGAAAGGAAGGAGGAAAGAAAGGAAAGAAGGTAGGAGGAAGGGAGGGGAGGAAGGAAGGAAGGAAGGAAGGAAGAAAGGCAGGAAGGCAGGAAGGCAGGCAGGCAGGCAGGCAGGCAGGCAGGCGGGCAGCGGGGAGAGGATGGGCGATGGGCAGGAGGGAAGGTGGGCGGGGCGGGGCGAGGGCGGGGCGGGGCTTGCCGAGGTATCTGCTCAGGAGCGGCGGCCGTGCAGCTGAGGTTGTCCCGGAGTGAAGGTCGTGCTCACGGACCGTGATTCCAGGCTGGTGAGGCCAGGCAGGGGGCGGTGCCTGCACTGGGGAGGGGTCCTGGGGTGGGGCTCCCCCCGACCCTGTCTGTGCGCACCCCCCCCCCCCACGGAAAGATAAGGACTATTGGTCACATGAATAAGGCTCTGACGCGAGGGATGGACGAGGGGGCCGGGCGGGGCGGAGGGAGGGTTCCGACACTGCGGCAGGGGGCAGGGGCGGGTGCAGGGGCTGGTGGGACCCAGGCACGGGGCGGGGCGGGCCGAGTCTGGAGGTGTTTGGACTTGGGGGGTGGGTGTCTGGGCTCTCCAGGGCCCCCCCCCCTCGCCTCATGGGCAGGGGTGGGGTGGGTGGGGTGGGGCCACGGGAGGGGTCCCTGCCCGGCCAGCCTCGGCCCTTGGAGATCCCTGCTGGAGTGGCCAGCCCGGGGTCACCTCTCTCGGATCGAAGGGAGTCGGAAAAGTTTGGTCCCATGATTTATACTCAAAAATATATATATACTGTATATAGTTCTCTGTCTCTCTATATATGTATATATATAGGGAAAGTCGCCACTCCTGGGGGGGTGGCCCGCCACGGAGGGGCAGGCTGTGTGCGGGTGGGGGGATGCAGGGCGGGAAGGGTTCCCCCGAGGGGGCGCTGGACCCCTCCCCCGACGCTCAGGACCCCACCCCCACCCCCCACCCCACAGGCGAGCCCAGGACCCGTCTCCCAGTTCCTGGGGGCGGCTTTTGGGGTGGGGGGTTTCACATTTGGGGAAGCAGGGGAAGGTGTGGGGGAGCAGGTTGGGGGAGACAGCGGCGGGGGGGGGCGGGAGTGGGGGTGGGGGTGGGGGCGGGGGGCTGGTGTCCAAACTCGGCTTCATTTACAGAAATGTCCAGGGTCGGCGGGAAGCAGAAACCCTCCGGGTGGGGACGCCCCTCACCTGGTGGAGAAGGGTCAGCGTTAGGGGGGTGGTGCCGTGGGGACACGGGGGGGGGGGGGGGGGGGGGAGGGAGGGAGGGGGACCAGGCGATCTCCTCCAACCCCTACCTGGCCGCACCTGCACTGCTTTCTGCCTGTCCCCAGACTCCACCCCAGAACACGGCCAGGAGAGCACAGGGTCCCCTGAGCACAGTGTGGAGCGATTCCCAGTGCAGAGCCCTGAGCCTGGGCAGTCTGGCCCCCAAACGACAAACAAACAACACAAAGCGCGCGAGCCCCTGGATGGAGCATCAGCCGGTGCCGTTTCTGCCTCGTGCACCTGTGATGCACAGGGGAAGCGGGGGGGGGGGGGGGGGGGCAGAGAACTGCTCCCCCCACGCATGCCATAGGAAAATGGCACTGCTAAGACCCCCTCAGGACCCCAGGGGTCCGGCCTTTGACCCTCGCCTTTCCCTCCCAATCTCGGTGAAGTGTTAAAAAAAACAACCAGCTTGGACGGAGCCATAGCACTGCGGGTAGGGCATTTGCCTTGCACGCGGCTGACCCAGCGGGGCGGGGGGCGGGCAGTCAGCACTGGGAATAGATTTCTGGAACCAATGGTGTGTGTGTGTGTGTGTGTGTGTGTGTGTGTGTGTGTGTGCGCGTGTGTGGCGGGGGGTACCTGGAGGCTCACCTGGGCCCAGCCCGCAGCCTCAGGGCGGCTGTGGGGGGTCAGTAGGGGTGTCCCGCGTCTTTGGGACGCTTCAGCTGCACCTTGAGCCTCTTCATGCCGATCTGGAAGCCGTTCATGGCCTGGATGGCCGTCTGCGCGCTGGCCGGGTTGTCAAAACTCACGAAGCCTGCAGAGACCGGGGTGGGGCCGCGAAGGTGGGCAGGGTGGTCGTCCTCTGAGCTCCGGCCGGCTCCTGGGGGTGGGGGGGTGTGCTCGCACGAGCAGATCGGCCCGGCCCCTGGGGGAGACGCCCTGTGGCCACGGCTTCGCCGGGTGAGGAGGGCGTCTCGCCCCTGGCTCCCTTCCCCCTGCCGGGCTCCGACTTGGTTCCGGGTCCTTCGAGCAGGTCCTCCCCCATCTCCCAGCCCCCCCTCCCCACTTCTGGCGGTAGCACCTAGGGGTGAGGGAGGTGGGGACCCTGTGGGAGGTGGGGGTGGCTTCGTGGAATGTTTGGGGGTGGGTGGGGGCAGGGGGTCTTGTTGCTCTCCTGGGCCCGTGGAGAACCGAGGGGGGAGGTTATTCTTTTTCTTTCTGGGTCACACCTGGTGATGCTCAGGGCTGACTCCCAACTCCATCCTCTGGAATTATTCCTGGTGGGCCTCTGGGGACCATATGGAATGCCAGGGATGGAGCCCATGTTGGCCGCAGGCAAGGCCAGTGCCCTCCCCGCTGTGAGCTCGCTCTCTCTCTCCCCCCGCCCCGCCAGGGGTGGATTTAGAGGAAGGGGTGGCATGAGGTCTAAGACTCACCCTACATTGGCCTTCACCAGAAATTTCCTCTGGCCCCGGTCAGCTTGCCTGTCCCTCCCTCCCTGCCCCTCCTCTCTGTCCCCGCCCCCCCTCCAGCCCCATGAGGTCTTCCTTGCTATTCTTCTGCCTTCTCCTGCCCCAGGGCCTTTGCACATGCTCTGACCTCCTTCCCAAAGCTCTTCCCTCCTGTTTCTCAGAACTGGTTTCATCTTCTGCCTCTCCGCATCTCTCTCCAGGCTCTCTCCACCCCCCCCTGCAAAAAAAAAACATGCGTGCTCCCTGCTCCTGTCTCCTCCCTGTGCTCCTGACGGGGCCTTCACTGACTCCCTGTGGGCATCTGCCAGAAGCCCATCACAATGAAATGTTTCCGAATCCATGTCCGTGGCGGTGCCTGCCACACTCTGGGGGAGGATGGACACAGCTGGACACAGCTGAACACAGCACACTGCCATCAGCAGAGAGACTCCCAACGGGGGGCGGGGGCAGAGCAGACCTGTGCACTCCCCACTCCCCAGGGCAGCCCGCAACCTACCGCCTGCACCCCTGCACAGGGCCCATTTGCTGAGAGTGGGTGGAGGGTGGATGGGTGAGTGGATGGATGGGTGGGTGGGTGGTGGGTGGATGGTTTGATGAGTGTAAATCTGGAGATATGAATGAGCACACCAGTGGATGGGTTGACGGATGGAAGGATGGATGGATGGATGAAAAGATGAATGGTGGTTGGGTTAGATCTATGTGTGAAAGGATGGATGGAAAGGATGGATAGGTGGATGGATGGATGGATGGGTGGGTGGGTTGGATAGATAAGTGGATGGGCAGATGGATGGACAGAGGGAAAGCGTGAATAAACAGGTGCACCGATACATGGATGGATAAGACAAGTGATAGGCGAGGAGAAGCTGGGGACCCAGTGGACGGAGGGCTGGTGTAGGGCTGAGTGAATGGAACCGAGACGGAGCCCTCCTTGGCACTGGGGGGGCAGTGCGGGGGCCTGGCAGGACGGGGCGTCTCGGCGGGTACTCACCAAAACATTTGCTCTGGTTGGTGGCTCGATCCATGAACACCTTGGAGGAGATGATATTGCCGAAGGGCAGGAACATCTGGGTCAGCTCCGTGTCTCCAAACTCCTGAGGGAGGTGGTAGATAAACAGGTTACAGCCCTCGGGACCTGCAGGTGGGGGAGAGAGAGACGTGAAGCCCCCAAGGAGGGGAGGTGGACCCCCAGGGAAGGGAGGCGGACCCAGCTGTTCCTGGGAAGGGCGCCCAGGGGTGCCCAGGAAGAAGGGGCGTGGGGAAGCAGGAGTGGGGGGAGGGGCAACATTCCGAACCCCAGTGGCCCTTGGGACCCACACGATCCCGCCCCCAAATTCAGATGATCCTCTCACCCCCAATAGGGATACACTGCTTAATTCCAATCCCCATCCCCAGAGAACACCCCAGCCCCAGAAAAGCCCTGAACCTCACTCTGGGTTCCCCGATAGCCCAGGTGCCCCAGAACCTCTGTCCTGTATTGCGATCATTCTGGACAGCGCTATGAGGCAAACTTTCCATTTCTGAGAAGCCTCAAAACCACAGAAAAAATGAGACGTGGGGGGGCTGGAGCCACAGGACAGCGGGGAGGGGGCTGGACTTGCACGCGGCTGACCCCGGTTCAATTCCCCCTCCCCCCCCAGCATCCCATAGGGTCCCCCGAGCACCCCCAAGGGCGGTGATCCCTGAGTGCAGGAGTGAACCCTGAACATTGCTGGGTGTGGCCCCAAAACAAAAATAAATAATTAAAAAAAAGAGAGACACTTCTCTGGCACCCCCCAATATGCAGTGAGTTTTCAAAACCTCGGATCATTCCCCAACCCTGGAATAATCAACATTCAGACGATGCAAAAATAATAAAATCAAGGGCCGGAGTGATAGTACAGCAGGGAGGGTGTTTATCTTGCACGCAGCTAACTCAGGTTCGATCCCCGGCATCCCATATGATCCCCCGGGCACCGCCAGGAGGGATTCCTGTGTGCATGAGCCAGGAGTAACCCCTGAGTACCAGTAGATGTGACCCCAAAAGCCAATAAATAAATAAATTTTTAAAAAGAAAATCAGGGGCTGGAGTGATAGCACAGCGGGTAGGGCATTTGCCTTGCACGCGGTCGATCCGGGTTTGATTCCCAGCATCCCATAGGGTCCCCCGAGCACCGCCAGGAGTAATTCCTGAGTGCAGAGCCAGGAGTAACCCCTGGGCATTGCTGGGTGTGACCCAAAAAGCCAAATAAATAAATAAATAAATAAATAAGAAAATCAAGGGCACTAAGAGGGTGATTCTCCATTCCTAAATCCCAGACCTCTGAAGCTGATTCTTGTGTGTGTGGGAGGGGGATTCGAACAACCCTAGGGGATGCTGGGGATTGAGCCCAGGTCGGCTGTGTCCAAGCAAACACCCTCCCTCCCTACTGTGCTATCACTCTGCCCCCCTCCCAATACCCAGGAATGTTTTTTTATGTTTTTGTTTTGTGGCCACACCCAGCAGTGCTGAGAGCTTAGTCCAAGCTCTGTGTCAGGGATCATTCCTGGTGGGGCTCCGGCTGCATATGGTGTGTCAGGAAGGGAATTCGAGTTGGCCATGTGCCAGGCGAATGCTCTACCTACTATCTCTCTAGTGGAAGAAAGTTTTTGTGGTTTTCATTTGTTTGTTTTTGGGTCACATGCTCGCTCAGGGCTTCCTCCTGGCTCTGCACTCAGGAATCACTCCTGGCGGTGCTCGGGGGACCCTATGGGATGCTGGGAATCGAACCCTGGTTGGCCACGTGCAAGGCAAATGCTCTGTCTGCTGTGCTATTGCTCCAGCCCTGGATGTAATATTTCTAAAGCCCAGTTGACCTTTAACACGATCCCCTCCCCCAATCCTCCCCACAGCACGGCTAATACAGAGACATAAAGACATATAAAACACATAAAGACACAAACAGCAGCAGTGTTTGGAAACCCAGAGCCAGGAACTATCCAAGACTGTGTTTTTGTGTCTGTCTGACTGGGACCCGACTGCTATGTCCGTGGCTTTTCAATCCGCACGGAGACGGGACCGGTGAGACAGTGCCAGGCTTTCAAGCTCTTGCCCTGTGTCCCACTTAGTGGCCCCGAGCTCCAACCCCCCCCCCCCCCCCCCAGGAGTCACTCCCAAGCACAGAAGCAGGAGTAGCCTGATCTTCAAAAACAAACAGAAAAAGACCCATTAAAACACACTGTCCTCTCATTGTTCATCATTTTGCTCGAGCAGGCCCAGTAACATCTGCATTCTTTTTTTTTTTTTTTGAGACTTGTTGTTACTGTGTTTGGCATATTGAATATGTCGCAGGGAGCTTGCCAGGCTCTGCCGTGCGGGCGAGATACTCTCGGTAGCTTGCTGAGCTCTCTGAGAGAGGCGGAGGAATCGAACCCAGCTCAGCCACGCTGGCTGCATGCAAGGCAAATGCTCTACCGCTGTGCTATCACTCCAGTTCAAAAGACCCATTAAATGCCCAAATGATCCAGTTGACTTTTGTGTGCGCTACCTCCTCGCTCCCACACACTGAATGGAGGAAGCTGCACCCGCCACGGCCCTGAATGACTGGACACCCGGGAGGGCTTGTTCTTTGCATGCAGCCAATCTGGGTTTGATCCCCAGCCTCCCACAGGGTCCTCTGAGCACTTCCGGGAGTAATTCATTGTTTTTGGCCATACTTGGTGATGCTCGGGTCAGACTTCTGGCTCTGTGCTCAGGGATCACTCCTGGTGGTGCTCAGGGATGCCGGGGATTGAGCCTGGGTCAGCTGCATGCAAAGCAAGTGCTCTTCCCACTGTGCTATGGCCTTGGCTCCAAGAATGATTCGAGTGCAGAGCTAGGAGTAACCCCTGAACATCACCAGGTGTAGGTCCCCCCTCCCCCCCAAAAAACCAAAAACCACACCACCCCTGATCCAAACCCTGTAAGGAATCAACACACATGCCTTGAATCAACACACACACCTTGCACACACATACACACACTCAAACACGCTTGCACACATTCACACACTCATACACACGCTCAAACACACATACACAAACATACTCCCACTGTCACACACACATATACATACACACACCTTGAACATCTGCCAAAGTTCTCATTTCTCTAAATGTGTTAAGAACTTGGCTCCAGGGATGGAGAGATCTGGTAAGACACTAGGTTCAATCCCCGGCACCCCATGGGGTCCGTGATCTCCACCAAGAGTGACCCTTGAACACAGAGCCAGGAGTCAGCCCTGAGCACTGCTGGGTGTGGCCCAGGATCCACAGACATAAAGAGAAGCTGTCCCTGTGTTTCACCTCTCCCATCTGATGCCAAATATTCCCTCTTCACTCGCAGAAGCCCTTCCATAGACACTTTTTTTTGGGGGGTCACACCCGGAGATGCTCAGGGTTTCCTCCTGGCTCTGCAGTCAGGAATTATTCCTGGCGGTGCTCGGAGGACCATATGGGATACTGGGAATCGAACCCGGGTCGGCTGCGTGCAAGGCAAATGCCCTACCCGCTGTGCTATAGCTCCAGCCTCTTCCACAGACACTTTTACAGGCAAATTTCAGGTCTCTTTCAAGACTTGAAAATTCCCTGTCTCTTGTAGCATTTGTGCCTTCTTTTCTCTTTTTTTTGGGGGGGGGTCACAGTCAACAGTGTTTAAGAGTATGGCTAGGTTCTCAGGGGGCCCCATGATGCTGGGGATCAAACCCCAGGCCCCACCTGCAAACCCTGTGGTCAGACCTGGGAGCGATCTGCCTGGTCCAAGGGTTTTTTTTTTTTTTTTTTTGCTTTTTGGGTCACACCCGGCAATGCACAGGGGTTACTGCTGGCTCATGCACTCAAGAATTACTCCTGGCGGTGCTTGGAGGACCATATGGGATGCTGGGAATCGAACCCGGATTGGCTGCGTGCAAGGCAAACGCCCTACCTGCTGTGCTCCAGCCCCTGGTCCAAGGTTTTACGTGTTTCTTTGGTCTTTTGTTTTGGTTTGGGGGTCACCCAGGCAGAATCTGGCCTTACTCCTGGATCTGTGCTCAGGGCTCACTCCTGGCTGTGCTCAGGTCGAACCCAGGCCCACCTCCAAGAACTGTCAGGTTCTGCCAAGTGTAGAAGTGCTTTTCAGAGAACCTGTCACGGCAGTGGAATTCACTCCCCTTCCCCCATACTCCGCCAGGGCTGAGGGGGGTGCTGGGTGACAACCACCCAGTTCCAGCCTTCTCAGAGGCTCCTCCTTGCCTCCCGCCGCCGCACAGACGCACGAGTGGCCAGTGGCGGGGTGGCTCACGTGATCTAAGACCCCAGCGGGCGGGAGCAGCGGGAGCAGGAACAGTCCCCGGCTGACAGCCTCTGACGTGAACCACAGCGCCCCCTGGAGGCCACATCCGCCGGCGCAGATGCCTCCGAGCAGGTCAGGAACAGCTAAGCCTGATTCCCAGCGCTGCAAGGGGCGGAAACAGGCTCAGGGCAGCGAGCTGCCACTCTTAGGGCGCCCCAGATCCCAACGGGGCGGACCCGAAGGCTGGCTGTCCGACTCCAGGACTGCACAGCCTCGAATGCTGCATCCAGTGCCTTGGCCTCTGTTCACCTGGGTCACCACCTTCCCCCCCACCGTCTCTCCCCAACACACAGCCCCCACCCCCCAGTCTCAAGAACAAGTTTCTCTCCGGCAAATCCTGAGGCTCCATCAGTTTTGCACTTCCTACCGGTTTGAAATAAGCACTTTCCGGGGGAGAAGGAAAATGAGACTCATCAGAGTCATAAGAAAATCAGACTCATTCAGCTCCTGGGGGCCTCCCGCCCAGCCAAAACCCAGGAAGAAAGGACAGCGCCAGGGCATGAAGCTGGGACTCCCAGGCTCCCCAAGTCCTTCAGGTGGAAGGGGCGGTCAGGAGGGCGGGGCTGGTGCCCAGGGGAGGTCGCGGCCCCCTCACCTTCTCGCTGCTGCTGCTGCAGGAGGGGCGGCGGCTGGGGGACGCTGTGGGCGATGGGCGTGATGGCCGCAGTGGGGTACATGGCTGCGGAGATCAGGAGCGAGACACAGGGCGGAGGATGCATGAGGTGGGGTGAGGCAGCACGAGCCCCCCGCCACCCCCCCCCCCCCCCGCAGTGGGCCGCGGGGGGGTGTGTCCACGGTGGAGGGAGCGGCCAGGACCAGGTCTAAAATGGAGGGGCGTGTCCACGGTGGTGGGCGGGGCCGGGGAGGAGCCAAAGTAACAGCAGTGTAGGCGGGACCAGATTTTGGGGGCGGAGCCACACGAAAGGGGGCGCGTTCTACCCGGTGGGCGGGGACAAGGAGGAGCCAAAGTGGTAGCAGCGTAGGAGGGACCAGAATTTATGGGCGGAGCCATAGCAGCGAGGATGTGGTCAAGGCGGTGGGCGTGGCATAAATGAGAGCTGAAGTGCAGAGCCGGCAGGGCAGAGCTTGCAGGGGTGGGGATATGGGGGCGGGGCAAGAGTCATCAATAAGACGTGGCCACCATAGAAGGGGGGCGTCTAAGGGTCCGGCCAAAGTAGCAATTTGTGGGTGAGGTCAGAAGATAGGGGCAGGGTCATTTTGTAGGGCAGGGACGTGGTCAAATTTAGATCTTACAGGGGCATAGCAAAAGGAGGAGGAGGGCCTGAAGGCGGGGTCAAGGAGACAAGGAAAGCAAATTGGGGGTAGTCATTGAGAGGGTGGTACAAGGACGCCTTAGGAAAGAGGGCCAAGGAAACGGAAGTGGGGCCATCACAGAGACATGGCCAGAATCCAGAAGACGTGGAGTGGACCCACAGGGCTGAAAGCTGGGGGAAGGGGCGCGTCAAGAGGCTAGACTGGGTAAAGGCCAAAAGAGGCACGTAGGGGTATCCCCTGGGAGGAGGAGCCAGAACAGGGTGTGGTGGCATGGCTAGAGAAGGGAGATAATTGGACAGAGTGTCAGGGGCAGGGCAAGGCTAGGGAAGGGAGATGATTGGACAGTGTGGCAGGGGCGGGGCAAGGCTAGGGAAGGGAGATGACTGGACAGCGTGGGGTGGGGCTGGGCTAGGGAAGAAAAATAATTGGCTAGAGCGCGGGGGCGGGGCACAGGCGGGCTGTCTTCCTACCTGTGTACTGCTGAACTCCGGAGAAGGCAGGATGGAGGGTCTCAGCCACCGTAGGGCTCTGAGCTGCGAGGCGGATGGATAGACTTGAGTGGGGTGGGGGCAGCGAAAGTCTTCCATTTACCACACCTCCCCAAATCATTAAGAGTTAGGAGGACAACAAACAATAGATGTCCACCCAATGTTACTTGTGCTCTAACGCCCCACCCCATGTTACAGGTGAGGAAACGGGGGCACAGACAGGTGAAGGGCCCCGAACAGTCATTCCTTTACAAGAGGAATGGGAATATCGAAATCCAGGCTTTTGTGACTCCCAAGAGACTGTTAACCGCACAACTCCCTTTCATTTCGAGGACCCTCCCCAGGCTGCCTGGCCTCAGTCCCACGTCATCACTCACCCCCAGTCTTTCCACTTTCTCCCACCCCACATCGTGTAGTCAAAGACCTTCCACTCCGGGAGGAAGGTTGCTCAGGCCATCAGAGCTGGTCAGTGCCTTGGTGAAATTCAACCAAAAGATTCTGCTCCAATGGAGAAAGATGGCGAGAGGGTAAGGTGGTGGGGGTGGGTGTGTTTTATGGGGTCATTTAGCAAGAACTTAGGAGAGGGAAGAGATTCACCTCGGAGAAAATGCTGTGCGCATGTGCGTAGGGTGCTTACGTGGCTGGCCGGGATTTGATCTCTGGCATCCCTGAACCTGCCAGGAGTAATACCTGGCACACAGCAGTAATCCCTGAGCACTGCTGGGTATGGCCCAAAAATTTAAAAATAGGGGAAAAAAAAGAATTGGGGTGGGCAGGTTCCCATCTTTAATAGTGGACACGGTGCAGTTCTCATGACGGGATTCACCAGGTAAGTCACATTTCTCAGACTAGACTCTGAACCCAGAAACGTCAGTCACACAAACCCCCCACCTCCTCACTGTTCCAGTGCCCGGGGTAATCACTGCCCCCCCAAGATCCCGTCCTACTGCCTGTCTGTGCCTCGGGCTACTTGTCATTAACCCAAAGAGAGCACCCCGCCCTGCTCTCGGTGTGGGACTCTCAGAGTTACCTGGGTAGGGCACGAGGCCATTGGCATAGACGGTCTCAAGGGCTGGGTGCCCACCAGGAAATGGCATCACCCCCGCGAAACCATTGGGAATGGGGGCCACGAGGCCGGGCACAGCAGCAGTGCCAAGCAGCGGTGGTGAGTGCAATCCTGTGGAGCAGAAGGGTTTACTGGGTTCCTGGCTGTGCCCTGGACAGCCCGGGCCCACTTCAGTTGGCTTCGGACTGCTCCAGAATTACCCCGTCCCCACCCGAGCACTTGCCCTGCCCACGCCCCTGCCCTAGCACTGACCCTGCCACAGCACTGCCCTGGACAGGCTCTGGCCACGCCCCTACCCTAGCACATTCCATCACAGCACTGCCCTGACCACGCCCCTTAGTGACCACGCCCACCGTAGCATCAATCTGGCCAGCCCCTACCCTAGCACCATCCCATCATAGCACTGCCCTGGCCACGCCCTTTCGTGACCACGCCCACCGTAGCATCAATCTGGCCATGCCCCATCCCTAGCATCGTCCCATCATAGCACTGCCCTAGGGATGCTGCCACTCTACCTTGGCAGTCGGCATTGCTTCACCCTAGTACCGCCCCCACCCCATCCTCACTCTAGCCCCGCCTCCGACACCGCCCCATTCAGTTGGCCCCAGAATCACCTGTGGCACTGCCTTCCCCGGGCCCTGGCCACTCTTCTCCGAACCCTTCTCCACACTCTTCCCTAGCACAGCCCTGGCCCCTCCCCAGCCTCCCCCTACCCTGTTTCTCACCAGAGGTGGGGGCGATAGGCGTGGCAGGCAGCCCGTTAAGGCTGACGGCACCAATCTGCTGGATGTGGCAAGGCGAGAAGGCCACGCCAGGGCTCAGGTAGCTGCCCGAGGTGGACAGGACGGTTGTCTGCTGCTGCATGAGCTGGGGGCAGAGAAGGGGGTGCTCTTGGAACACTGGGGTAGCACCTCTCCGATTATGTCTTACAAGATGGTGAGGCCGGGGTGCCGGTTCCGCCTTATAGCTGGGATCAGGGCTTAGCTGAGTATCTGGGCTGGATCCGGGAGCGGCCGGCGCTGGGCTGGGAAGGCCTCGGCAGAACTGGAGCTAATCTAATTCGAGGTACAGCCCGATCTGGGGTGCCATCCAAGGGCGGGTCTTCCTTTCAGCGCGCATTTATTTGAGCCTGGCTCTGGGATTCCACCTGGGCAAGCCTCCGTTTGCAGCTGAGCCTGCGATCCCGTCGAAGCTGGGGTGCAGCTTGGGCTGAGAGCTTAGGATGGGGTTCAAGAATAAGCCTTGTGGGGCTGGAGCCATAGCACAGAGGGGAGGGCTTTGCCTTGCGCGCGGCTGACCCGGGTTTGATTCCCAGCATCCCATAAGGTCCCCCGAGCACCGCCAGCAGTGACCCCTGTGCATTCCCGGACGTGACCCAAAAAGAAAAAAAAAAAATCCTTGTTTGGAATAAGGGGCGTGGCACCCTGGCCACACCCCGCCCCGGCCACGCCCTAGCAGGTCCCTGCCGTAGTGTTGGGAGCTCAGAGGGGTCACGTGTTTCGGTCACTCACAGCCTGGGCGTAGGCACTGTAGGGGCTGAAGGGCAGGGTGAGAGACGGGGTCAGGATTCCCAGCTGTCCCACCATCTGCTGCATGCGTCTCAGAGTCCGCTCCTTGTCCGTGTCCGCAAACTTGACCACCAGACTGGACGAGGCGCCCTGTAGGGGGCGGCAGAGAGGCAGGGAGAGGAGGAGGGAGGGAGCCAGACTCCGGGGTCTCCGCCCCCAAACCAAGCATCCCACTGGCAGCCCAGCTGGGCCTCCTGGGTGAGGAGCGGGTGCTGGCAGCTGTCACCCCAGCTACACACTTGGGTTTTGTGTCCCGAGGTGAGTCGTTGGGGCCAGTCGGGGACCCTCAACTGTCACCCACACCTGAGAGAGAGACTCAGGGTGTTATTTCCGGGACGGGTCCTCCAGGGAGGGCTTGGAACCCGGACTGCCTGATCCTGCTACGGATGGAGCCCCACGCCCCAGGAACCAGGCTCGGGGGTTCCGGAGCCCCAAGTGCAAGGACAGGGTGCAAGCAAAGGGCGCTGGGACAGGCCCCGTGTATCACACCCAGTTAATGGGTTCTAGAAGGTCCAGAGAGGGATGCTGGCTCCGAGTGCAGCTGAGCTCCCTGGGACTCACTCTCACACTTGGGGGCCTCTCCGCAGCCCCACATTCCTCCAGGTCTGCCCCCTAACACCCACCACACGGGTGCATCCCACCCTCCACATCCGAGGAATTCCGGCCTGCCCCCAGCACATTCCTGTCCGGGTTAGCAAAGCTGATGGACGTGCCCCTCAGCTGAGCATGCGCTTCCCTGCACACTCAACACACATTCCACACTTGCTGTGGATGTCCACACACATGTACATTCCCGCTCACCATGCATGTCCACACATATGCACATACATGTACATTCCGACATTCAATGTGCCTGTCCACACACACACCTACACACTCATCATCTTCCCACACTCACAAGGAACCTCCAGATACACTCATGCACCTTCCCGCACAGCCCCACAAACTCACACACGTGCACCTACATTCCCACACCACGCGTGACCACTCTGAGACAGTCACGCACATCCGCACTCACACCCCTCCACACGCCCACACTCACAGACATCAACACACACTCAAAGACACACAGTACACGTCCATGCCTGTACCCCTCACCTGTGCATGTAGACACACTCAGAGACGTGCACAGACGCAACTCAGGCGTGCAACTCCGCAACAACACAATCACACATGTGCCACCCGGCCCATACGCTGAAACGTACTCATCACGCACACCCGTGCAGTCCCACGCAACAGCCTGGAAAGGCCCTGTCACACGTGTGCACACTCGTTGTAACACCACCCCTAGATCGGTTTCACCTGGCCCCTCTCTGAGAAGCGCTAGGGTCTCCCACACCCGAGACAGAAAGTGTAGGTCTCCCCCTTCCCCACACTCCTGCATGGCCCAGTTACTCACCGGCATGGTTTGGCTGCCATGAAGGGCGTGGATGGCCGCTTGGGCCTCTGTGTGGGATGAGAACTTCACAAAAGCACAGCCTGCCCCAAGAGAGCCAGAAGGGACGCAGGGTCAGTCTTTTGGGCAGGGAGGAGCCTCGTGGTAACCCTGCCTGGGTGGACAGCATCAGACACGGGCAGCCAGAAGCCAGACACGAGGACAGGAGACTCCGTCAGTGCTGTGTGCAGGGACAGCTGGACCACCCCGGGCCGGGCCGCAAGACAAGCGCGGGAGATCAGCCTGGAGGTGGGCATGCCCCCCCGCCCCAGGAGAGCCAGCCAGAGAGCCGCTCGCCACTCAAGCAGAGGGAAAGCATCAGGCAGAGCTGGGCAGGGTCCTGCTCGGAGGAACAGGCCAAGAGCGCAGGCTTCGAGAAGGCGCGCCGGGCACTCCCACCCCGAGACCAGGCGTCGCCACCAGAGCCGCGGAATTAAAGACGGCGCCCTCGGACAGGGCTGTGGACATTCGCTCAGATCCAGAAGCAAGGTCCAGGAGGATGGGGCTGCTGGTGATGTGGGGTGAAGTCAGGGGGTCAGCGACGTCCAGCCGGTGGGGCGGCGGGATCAGCAGACAGACCACCCGAGACCACCAGACACAGGCAGATGGAGACAATCACACGGCAAGAGTCCCGGCAGGCAGAGCGCTAGGGAGAGGCTGGGCACATGTGGGGGTGTAGAGGGTAGGGCGGCAAGGCGCTGGAATTGCGGGGTGGGGCGGGGGGAGGCGGTGTTGCACGCACAATCCTTTGAACACACAAAAGCACATGGTTGTCGGCTTTCCATGTGGGGTGGGGCCTTTTACGATCTGGATCGAGATGCGAGATCAGAGAGCCTGGCAAGTTCATGGCCAGGAACCGTGGGATCAAACCAGTCCTTGGGAGGAAAAGTGGCCAAGGCAGAGACAGGCAAACCGAGAGGGGTCGCACGGATGAACCCAAACAGGTGCAACCAGGTAGACAGACCGGCAGCGCCCTGCTGACCCAGGGGCACACTCGGGCAGAGAGACAGAGAGACGAAGGCGGAGGGACTTTCAACCCGAGGCACAGACGTCATGAGGGCAGGTCAGCCGACAATTATCCCGAGACAGTCCAGCCACAGAGGGCCACTGGGGAAGGTGGGATCAGACAGACAGCCCCATGGACGGAATCCGGTAGAGACAGGTGGACAGGTGGGTCGCGGTGCGAGCAGTCTCTGCCAGCCCCATTTCCGGACCCCCACTTCCGGCCACGGATCCCAATTCCGCCAGCACCCTCCCCTCCACCGAGCCCCATCCTTAGAGCCTGGACCCTGCTCACCAGGCACAAATCCCACCCCCAGCATCCTGGGGTTCCTCATGCACCAGCCTGCTTCCTGCTCCCTTGACCCTCAACCACACCCCCTATAGCTTATATCCGCCCTCTTTGTACATAGCCACACAATCTCTGTGTCCTAGATTCCATCATTCAGACACAAGCCCTGTTCCTGTACTTAGGCCCCGCCCCTGTGCCCGAGGCCCCGCCCCACACTTAAGCCCTGCTTTGCATTCGAGGCCCCGCCCCTCACATGCAAGCTGTTTTGCATCTTATTCTCCGCCCACACACGAGCCCTGCTTTGCATTCTAGGCTCCTCCCTCTCATAAACTCCGCCTTGCACCTTAGGGCATAAGCCTATGGGCATAAGCCCGGCCTTGAATCCTAGGCCCCGCCCTTCACACGAAAGCCCCGTCCCCAGGTCCCGCACCTGGCGCTCTTCTTACCTTTGCTGCTGCCATCTGGCCCCCGGAGCACTGTGCACTCATCGATGACCCCGAAGGGCTGGAACAGCCGCAGCACGTCCTCCTCCGACTGCTGCTTGTTTAGCATCCCCACAAACAGCTTCCGGTCCCCTGTGGGTGGAGACTCCCCCTCAGCCAAGTCCCTGGCCTCGGGAATTTCAGGAGGCAGCGGGTACACCATGGGTCCTAGTGGGCCCCATGGGGCCGGGTGAGAGGACACGGCCCCGTGTTTCCTGAACGGTCCCACCTTGGTGCCTCTCAGTCCCTGCAGGCTTCTGTTCCCACTCTGGGGACCAGCGCCATCTCTCACTAACGTGCACTCCCAAAACCTCACAGAGAACCAGGCTGAGGGATTGCCTGGCCTGACTATCCAACATCTGGATTTTTCCAGACACGGGGCATGGCTCCTGGGCTGTCCCTATGCTTTCCAGGCATCCTGCGTGAGTGGTGCAGCGGGCCAGGTGCCTACGGAGCCTGGGTACCCATCTATCTGCTGGCCGAGTGGGGGCTGGGAAGTGGGGAGCAGTGCTCAAGCCTAAGGCCAGGGTCCAGGTGGAGACTGCTTCTCCCGAGTGTGGGTGCCAGAGACCTGGCCCCTTAGAGAGGGAGTGCTGCTCCCTCTCACAGGAATGAATGTGGAGGCTCTATCTCCCAGGGATGCAGAGCTGGGTTACTATGGAAACCTGTCCTCTGGCAGCTGTCACTCATGGGGGTGGCAGGGAAGGAGAGTCAGAAGAGGTGCAGAGAGAGAGAGAGAGAGAGAGAGAGAGAGAGAGAGAGAGAGAGAGAAAGCACAACCCTTGGCAGCCAAATCAAAATATGAGAGAACTCCCTATAAAGATATTACAGAGCTCCTACACACACACAGAGGCCCTAACCTCCATGCCCTTTTATCCCCACAAGGCTGGTTCCTCTCCCTCAGGCCCCCCAACTCCATAAGAGATGGAGGAGGGCTGCAAGACTCTCAAGGATAAGTACTCTGAGATCCCACCAGGGGCAGCCATGCCTCCCCCCTGCCATGCCCACCCCCCACTCCCTGCACATACACCAGGCCTGTAGTCTCACACCACATGCCTGCGAGAAACAGTCAAACACACACATGCTCTGGCGTGTGAGCCCATGCACAGATGTATCCTGGGGGAAGGCACAGGAGCCCCTCTCCCACACCCACTGCAGGAACATGCATGCACACACACACACACACACACACACATACATACACACACAGGGTGCCCAGGTATGCATGCTCACATGCACACGTGCATTTGCCCAGACAAGCGTCATGCACCCCGCAGTTCTTCGGGAGCCCTGGGGTCCATAGACCCGCAGACCCGTGGATGCCTGCCCCACTCCAGCCAGGGGGCTCCGCCTGGCTGTCAGGAATGTCCTGTTGCATGGGGTGGGGGAGGGGTTGAGGGATCAACCTCAGACCCACTGATCTGTCCTCCTTGGGGTGAAGAGGGGAAGGAACCCCTTTTCCCCACCCCCACTGCTCCTCTGCATGTGCCCAGCCCCGCCTAGCAGCTATGGAGAGATGACAACTACCTCCACGGCTCTCGCTGTCCGCAGGCTTCACCTGGATTGGCCGCGCCATCTGCGGAGAGAGGGAGGGCAGGGAGGTCAGCAGTGGACATCGCTAGGCGCCTCAGCTCACGTACTGTCCACTTCCTCGGCCTCCCAGACCCCCCGGCCCTACTGAGCACCCCATCAAGCCAATCTTGGGTGGCTTTGCTCATACTGTCCGGCAAACTCCTATTTCACCTGCAAAATCAAATCCCAAGAGCCCCCTCGACCTCCCCTTGCCTCTCTCGTGTGGCAAGAGGCACACGAAGCTTCCCTCGGTCCCTGACATGTGACACGTGACATGACCTGGTGAGTCCTCTCTCCTCACCTCACTGAGCCCAGGGCAGGAGATAATGTGGGAATCTGAGAGCAGCCTGGACGGATGGGGTCAGGTCGGGGTGGCCTTTGCTATTCCACGGGTCTGAGGAGAGACTCTGGCCTATGGCAGGGTCTCCGGAGAACTCCTACACATCCTTCAAATCCCAATGAAGAAGTTCCCTTGCGGGCAATCTGTTGGCAGTGCCTGTTTGCTCCATACACACACACACACACACACACACACACACACACACACACGCACACATGCACACGAACACACACGCGCACAAGGCAGGGCATGGGTAAGAATCATCAGCAGCTGAAGTGAGTGGCCCAAATGGAAGTTGTCCGAGCCCTTCAGAGAGTGGCCTTAAGAGAGAGAGGCCCTGGGTGTGGGACAAATTCCATCCCCGTGCCCGCACCCTCGAGTCCCCGTGTGTCCAGAAGGTACTTGATAACTGCCACGGGGCTGGGTGTAGAGTCATCTCTCAACCTCGTTTCAAAGGTGCCAACATCCCAGCTGAGATGGGGATGGGCTCCAGAGCTCCTACATGTACACAGGGGCCCTAACCACCATGCCCCGCCCCCTCCCTGCCCAGCTCCCATCAGGTCAGAGAGATTTTGCTTAGAATAGGGGCAGTGAGTCCAAGCAATGTGGCTTACTGGACTCCACATTCTGGGATCTGCCCGCCCATTTTCTTTTTCTTTTTTCTTTTTGGGTCTCACCAGTGATGCACAGGGGTTACTCCTGCTCAGGTACTCAGGAATTACTCCTGGCGGTGCTCAGGGGACCCTATGGGATGCTGAGAATAGAACCCGGGCCGGCTGCGTGCAAGGCAAACGCCCTACCCACTGTGCTACCGCTCCAGCCCCTTGCCCACCCATTTTTTGAGCCCTATAATCACGCCCCCCCCCCTACAGTCTTCTTGCCTCTGACCGCTCTCACCTTTGATGTGAGGACGCCTCCCTTTCCAGGTCTGAGGTCCCTCTGGGCATGGGGGGGAATTCCCCTGAATCCTGAGCTTTCCACTTCCCTGAGCCCAGAGTCCCTCCCCACCCCACCCCACTTCCTGCTGCTATCTTGGTGACATTTGGTTGTGCCAGATCCAGGGGTCCAATCTCCCCAATCCTGGTCTCCCCTTGACCCCCCACCCCTCTGCTGTCCACCATCCCCTAGAGGGACCCCCACCCCCACCTGGGAAAAGGGGGGCGATCGACTCTCCCTTCCCCCGTCCCCCTCCACTTGACTACCACACTCCTCCAGCCAGATCACAACCAGATGGGACCCGTTTTGAGGTGAAAGTGGGGGGCGGCACTGGTTGGGAAGTAGGGGGGGAGGGGGCACCTGTGCTCCAGCCCCCGCCCCGGCCCTCACCTCCTCCCCCTCCCAGCACCTTGGGCATAGAGGATGGGGTTGCCATGGCAACGCTGATTCACCACACGGAAGCCGCCAATTGTTGTTGCTATGGAAACCGCCTCTTAGGGGCGAGCCCAGCTTCTGCCTCGCACAAAAGAGATATTTAAATATAATCTTCTCGAGATAGATGAGCTGAGCGAGGGAGGGGAGACCTGGCCCCCACCGGCGTGCCCTCCCTCCCCCCCCCAGCCCCAATCTGGGGGGTGCTGCGGGGTGGAGGGGAGGGAAACCGACTCCCCCATCAACCCCGCAGCCCGCGGTGGGATCTGGGTGCCACCGTCTCTGCCCGTCCGGGAGGCCCCTTCCCCCCCCTTCCCGGTCAGCTCAGCAGGGGTGGGGGGTGGGGGCCCCAGAAACCAGATGGACAGCCCCCCTCCGGCGCTCCAGTACACCCCACCCCCTTCCCCGACTCCGACGCTGGGGTCCCCCGCAGCCCCGGGGCCCGCCGGAGCCTTACCCGCCCGGATCGCATCCACGTGCACCGCCCGCCGGCCCCCGGGCGCACAGGCGCGCGCACCCCGCACGCGCGCCCCGCGCCCCGCGCCCCGGGCCCTGGGAGGAGGAGGCGAGCCAAGGGGGTGCAGCTGGGTCTCCCCACTCCCCACCCCGCCAGTCGCCCCTGTCCGCCCATCTGGCGCTGCCCACCTCCTTCCGGCTCCCTCGCTCCATCTGTCCCGCCCAGCGCCCGGTGCTGTCGCCTCCACCTTCTCCGGTTCCCCATCGCCGCGCCCGGCCCTGCCCCTCCCTCCCTCCCTTCCTCTCACCAAGTGCTCAACGCTGCGTGATTCTGCATGGGCCCTGCTCCCTCTTCTGACGAGGTGGGAGGAGGGAGGGCAGGTAGAGACACGTCCCCAGACACTCTGGGCCGGGTCCACACCGGGACAGACTGAGACGTCAAGGGCAGGTGGGGAGCGGGGGCTGCAGGAAGGTGGTGGACAATCTGTGGTGGGTTCTGAGGAATCAATAGGAGTTCTGAGGTGTCTCTGCGGTGGGCTCTGAGGTAGGAGTAGGAGTTCTGAGGTGCCAACATTCCCAGGTTAGAGCTGGCTGAGAGCTGGGAAGGGAGAAAGCGAGACGCGGCCACCGGACCCATGCCCCTGCCGGTGGGTTCTGGGGTTCCAGTCAAGCCCTGAACCAGCAGCTCCACCTGAACTCTGGGAAAGGCCCTCAGCTGGGCCAGCGGGGGTGCCCCAAGTGTCCTGGATGTGCAAAACGGGACTCAGCTGGGCTGCTCTGATGTGGATGGTGGTGGCGCACATCTGGGCGGCCCTTCCCACACTGTGACTTCCTCTGCTCCCCATGGGCCCTGCCCAGCCTCCACCGGGCACCCGGGTTGGGCTCCTCATCCACTCTGGGCACTGCCGCTGCCGCTGTGGGCACCAGAGTGACCCCTAGTCCTTACCCTGGGACTGGATACCCCCTAATGCCCAGGGTGACCCCCAGTCCTTACCCTGGCATTGGACACTACCCCCCTAATGCCCGGGGTGACCCTCAGTCCTTACCCTGGGGCTGGACACCCCTGCAAAACCCAGGGCATCAGCAGTGTAATCACAGCTATGGAACTGTCCATCTGAAATCTCCCACCCCTGCTGGGCCCCTCCACCATCACCAACCCCCAAAGCCCTTTTGCTCTGTTTGGACTCCACCTTCGTGGAGGCCTGTATCAGCACACACACTGTCCTCTGTCCTCTCTGGGTACCCCACTTCCCAAAAGGCCAAGCGTGTAATTTCCCAGTGATAACAGAAATGAACTGAGTCTCCTGGGTAGGAAAGGTGGGGGAGTTCCTGAGCCCGACCCTTGGCCTTTCCGAGGATCCCCTTACCTGCCTGCCTGCCTCCCTCTCAGGGGCGCTTCTTCACAAAAATCCCCAGACCCACTTCTGGGCCTGCGTCAGTGATGCAGAAACTGAGGCCTGACAAGGTCAAATTGTGAACCCTTAGTCTTAGGTTGATGTGACTTTTCCCCTTGGTTTGGGGGTCACACCCAGTGGTGCTCAGGGGTAATTACTCAGGGCACTCTCTAGGCAGGGCTCAGGGGACTCTCTGGGGTGAGGAGAATCGAATCTAGCTTGGCTGCATGCAAGGCCAGTGCCCTCCCCACTGTGCTATGGCTCTGGGTTCGCTTTGGTGGGACTCTGAGATAGGCCATATAGGGCTGGGCTGGGTCCTGCCAGGGAAAGTTTTCCCTTGTGGGAACAGGAGGGGTCTCTAGGAGGGGAGACAGGTACCCAAACACACGCCCTGCCCTTCTGGGGTGCTCAGAGGAGCCACAAGATGACCCCTGAACCAGAGCAGCCTGACCTACAGGGTTTCAGTGTCCCACTCAACTCAAGGGCTGAAATGATAGGAGGGCTCAGATGGTGGCCCTCGATCCCCTACAGCCCCCCTGCTTCCCCTAAAGCCCCGCCCCCCACCACAGAACATCCCTCCCACCTCCCACCAAGAACCAGACTCCAGGCCCCAGGGCTGCAGTGAAGGGCCTTGGCAGAGTCAGGATCTGGGGTGCAGGGGGTACTCCTCTTTGCCCATTCTGGGTCTGGCTGGAGAACGTGGAGGAATGATTTTTTTTTTCTTTTTGGGTCACACCCGGTGGCTCTGTACTCAGGAATTACTCCTGGTACTGCACAGGGGACCCTATGGGATGCTGGGAATCGAACCCAGGTCGGCTGTGTGCAAGGCAAAGGCCCTCCCCGCTATGCTATCACTCCAGCCCCGTGGAGGAATGATTTATAGTGAGTTCTGGAGCGATAGCACAGTGGGGAGGGCATTTGCCTTGCACATGGCTGACCTGGATTCAATCCCTGGCATCCCATAGGGTCCCCCAAGCACCCAGGAGTGATTCCTGAGTGCAGAGTCAGGTTCTGAGCATTGCTGGGTATGGCTCCCCCTCAAAAAAATAAATAAAAGAAGAAGAATCACAATCTACCCAGTACTTCTCACGGGCTGCCCAGGGCACAGAGGAGATGCTGCAAACACCAAAGGATTTCAGCAGAAAAAACAAGGGTCCCCACCCCTGGAAGAACATTCTAGATTGGTTCTGTCCAACCTGGTAAGTGATCTCCTGCTCTAGAATGCTCTTGGTTTCTCTCTCCAACATAGAAGCTGGGTGCTGGTTTGAAACATTTGATTTGTTCATTTCGTTGGTTTGGGCGCCTCACCCATCAATGCTTAGGGCTGACTCCTGACTCTGTGCTCAGGGAGCACTCGGGGGACCCATATGGGGCACCAGGGATCAAACCTGGGTCAGCCTCGTGCAAGTCAAGCACCCTTCCCAATGAGTTATCGCTCCGGCCCCT